CCCTGCTCTCCTCCACCCCCCCACACCCTCACCTCTCCCTTTGCTCCTTTTATTCCCCTCCAACACCAACACCTCCTCTGTCTGCTGTGTTGATTGAAGTATCTGCTTTACTGGATCAAGCTGTCAATAGCTAAAGTGCTGTTGTTAACTAAGAGTGATTGTTTCAGGTTAAGGCCGGGGGATCAGAACCTGAGCGGCCCCCTCAGAGGCAGAGCTAACACTCGGAGACATCAGTTATGGTCCTGCTCCTCTCTCTTTGTTTCTTTTTTTTTTTTTTCGACCTGCGTTGGCAGGAAAATTGAAACAAAAAAAAAAAAAAAAAACGAGCCAAGACGAGGACTTTAAGTTGCAAGTGTAATTCTAGTGTGACCAGCGAGAGTCAAGACTTAGGAACTTTATCTGCCCTTTTGTGCACAAAACCAGACCAAACCAGACCAGACAGTCCAGACACCAAGGGCTTCTGGTGTTGGTGCTTTTCAAAACTTAAAAAAAAATTGAGAAAAGTCTAAACTTGGCTGTGGGGCTTTACGTGCACACATTTCTGTTTTGCTTGAAAAAAAAAAAAAAAAAAACTTTGAACAAAGGCTGTCAAGATTAATGAATTTGTGAAATGCATCAGATTAAAATGACTAAGGCATTTAAACATATGAGTAGAAGCCAGTCATCGACTGACAGGCTGACTAACACAATTGTTAAAAACATTGTGAGGGACTGGAGACTAATTAATATCGTTAATGACAGCGGCTTCGGCAAAGATTTGAAAGCGACTTTTGACGAGTTCTGTCCAGAGGCGCGTGAATGATTTTATGAATCTGAATTTTGAGTTATACTCTCACATATTCTTCCTGAATTTTTACCATATGAACTAAGTCCACATTTTTAATTATTTTTTTTATATATATATTCAGGGATGTTGATTAGTTACGATTAATTGCGATTAATCCACAGCTACCCTGCGACGGATCCGATTGAACATTTTAATTGTATCACAGCCCCGCTTTGAATCCGTGATATTTCCAACCTTCTGAAGGATTAATCTTTGCCCTTGCCAGCCTCTCATTACATTTGTTCTCCAGCAGAACTGTAGACGAGGGCCACGGAACAAAGACTGCACAACATCATAGCTTTTCATGACTTTTATCACAGCTTCTGTTGGCGCCGTTGCTCCGCTGCACTGATGTATGTGCACCAGTACTTTTTCTCCCAGCCCAAACAAATCCATCAGAAACACAGACCAAAAAAAAAAAAAAAAGTTTTGATCCTATTTGTGGGTCATCCTCCCCCTGTTTTTTTTCCCTCCCATCCTGGAGGATGTCTCTGGGTTTAAGCCCCTTTCTCTCGCACATTTTCCAAATCTTGTGAGCAGTAGACCTGGGCCTGTTCTCCGTTCATAAACGCAGCAGCCTCTCCACTGCTGCCAGACTGTGTTGATCTAGACAAGAGAGTGGGTAATTATGTGTGTGCTCATGTATTGTCATTTCTAAATAGAGAGTCTGAAATCACCGAACCCCGTTTCTAGTCTCAACACTCGTTATCTGCACCGAATCTTTTTGTTTTTACCCAGGATGTTTTGAGAGGTTTTATAGCAGCCGAGTGCAGATCTATAAAGCAGACTGTAACAGTGATACCATAGATGGACCTCTGTACCGCCCCCCCGCTGCCCCCCCTCCCTCCTTTATTTGTGACAGCTCTGCTTGACAATATTTCTTTTGCCTCATTTTTTTTTTTTTTTTTTTTTTTTTTTTGCGTGGCGTCACAGTTTGCCGTTCCCTATGTCAGACACCCTGCTTAATGCATTCAGCCCTGAGGTTTTTGTTTCAGCCTGAGCAGGACACTGTGTTAGAGCAGCAGCAGCAGCAGCACAAACAAGCAGCTAAACCATTGATTCTAAGTAATCGCCTGAGTAATTGTGGGAGCAGTTATGATACAGAAAGACAGGTTTTGATTGCGTGTGCGTAGAAGCAAGAGGGAGGGGGAAGAAAAAGAAAAGAAAGAGAGACAAAGACCTCACCTCTGCTGTCCTTGAGATGGGATTTTTATGGATGGCTGAGCCTGGTGAGGGCTGAGAACACATAAAGAGTCATTTTGGGTTTGTTGCAGGCAGTTAACCACGTGTGCATATTTGTTGAACTTCCAGTAACAGACGCAGGCTTGGTTTCTACAGCTGTGTGACTCTTTCACCGGCCTCTCTCTCTCTCTCTCTCTCTCTCTCTCTCTCTCTCTCTCTCTCGTAATGCCATATCCCCTGAAATGTGTCGCGAACACATTTGAAAACAATAGAAGGAAAATGACACGGAGGAAATGTTGAACCTTGTTGGGTCACAGCGCAGTCGTCCAATGGGATTTGGAGTGATATGAATGAGGATTGCCCAACGTCGTCAGTTGACCATAGATTGTCGGTCAATAGTATCATTAATTCTACTGGTCAATAAAGTCGTTCAAGCCCATATAGATTGACCGGTGAATGAAGCAAGGTTTTCTACACCGAGCTGTCTATGCAGTAGTTTCCCAAAGACTGGGTCGCGACCCTCAGGTGGGTCGGAAGAGATTTTTTTTTTTTGGGGTCGTCTCGCATCATGTTTCCCAGGAGTTTACGAATATTGTCTATTGATTTAGGTCGCGAAAGTTAGTGACTTTTAAAATATGTTTCCCCAGAATATGGGTCATTCTCCTGCAGTGCAGCGCAGCAGTTAGCATAAGAGCTTAAATCAGCTAACCAGCGCTAACCTCAGATGTGTTCGATATTTGTACGATATAAAGTTGCAGATTAATTTCATTTGTTTGTTTCATTATCACAGTGCAGATAAAGTCGTGATCAGTCTGGTCCGACCTACCGTGTTAATATTTCATCAACATAAACAAAAGTTCATGTGCATATTTTAAATAAATGAGAAAATATATAATTATGAATTCATCAAATTTAATTGATTAATTAAATTCTTCATTCAACTCATCTTTCGCTTAAGATGTTAATGAATGAAAGATGAAACAAACAACAAAAAAACACGGCCTGGTTTTTTTTGTTCTCATTTTCTTTTTCTTTTAACAAAGCACTACTTGAGTGAAGTAGACTTTTTTTTTTTTGGGCTCTAATTAATTTCAGTGCATATGAAAGTGTTATGGACTTCATGATGAAGATAATTCCCCCGGTTTTTTTTTCCCCCCGGTCCTACACTAACACAGGCTGAGTGAGTTTGCCTTCTCTTCTCCGTGTCACCATCAAGAGCCATCAGGCTGTGAAAAGAGCGCCCCCTGGACTGTAGGCCAATCACTGTTGTGACTGCCAGGGGAAAAAAAAAATCTGACGGTGCTTTAAATTGTCCTGTGTTGGAGTAAAGCAGTAAAAGTACCAGGCTGTAGCCAAACACCACCAGATCTCTTTCAATGTGCGTTATTTAATTTTGTAATTACGGAGAGTCGAGGTCTGGGCGTATCTTTATCAGTATCTCAATGGTATTCTGGAGTGTACTCTGTGTATTTGTCTGCGTGTATCTTTGGATTATTGTAGTACCAATACATAGATATTTGTCAGCTACTATATTTAGTGTATTAAACAATTCAAATAGTCATAAGGATTTTGCTTCTTAAGGATCATTTTGAACAGATAAAAAAAAAAAGAATGTGGAATTGATTGGTTATTAATCATGAGTTAACCACGGTTGACGATTTGATTAATTGTAATTAAATATTTGAATCGATTGACGGCTGGAGGTAACGATTTTTTTTTCTCCCCCTTCTAATGTATTACAGTACATTACATTATGCATTAGTGGTCAATATTTTTTAATGACTATTGGTTGCTTTAAAATTGTTAAATAAGCATTGATGTCATAATATCCGGGAACATGAATGATCGGTGAGGTTATTAAGAGTTTCGCGCCGCAACTGAGTCGCTGGAAAGTGTCCTAATCTGAAGGCTACAGGGTCAATAGCCCATTAGTGTAAATGTCATTGCCGTACCCGGCTGCAGGTTAAACCCCCTCTTTACCTTTTCTCCTTCCACCTTCACGCCTCACAACTAGATTCATCACTTTTTATTGACATCACGTCAACCGTTGACCACTGCATGTTGGCCGACTGAATTAATCTTCGCTTCACATTTTAACCACAGTCTCGTTGTTGAGATTATTTTTCTTCACGTGTCAACAAACTGTATTCGTTTTTTTTTTTTTTTTCTTCCCCCTCTGGTTGGACTGTCATTGGACTGTGATTGACATTCTCCTTATCTGACAGTTGTACTTGTAACGTAGTACCATTAATATTTTTGCCGTCACCTTTTTACTCATTCATTTATTTTTGATGAACATCATTATTATGTTGCTGTAGACATTGCATGTTAATTGAATAATATTTTTTTCTACGCATGCTTTAAATGATTTAGGTTATTGTCATTCCTATTGGTCGCTTCAGGGTTGTGCTATTTTCT